ACTGATACGAGGGCAACCTCGCCTTGCTTAGCACTGCAACTCAACGATCCCATCATGCAACTTTGACATTTGCGACTTTGTCGAAGGCAGACCTCACAAGAAAAGCCCACCGTTTTTCAGTTCTCTGTCCCTGAGGTCAACCGGGCTCAACCGCCTGAATTGTCACCCCTCCCTCAGCGCGTCTGGTCTGGCGCATTACCGATGCATCGTCCAAGACCCCCGTCGCCTCGTCAAGAAGCAGCTCTCGTCGCTGAATACGCGGAGGCCGCCAGGCATGCCCCAGATTCTCTCGCTTTCGATATGAATTCCGCCCCAATCCCTGACCCCCCAACATTCGACGAGACGTTTGCCAACCGGCCCAAGTTCCGCCTAAAAGTCTATCCCGTGCGCTCGCGCGACTTTGTCCCCAGCAACACCGGTCTACCTCTCGACCTAGTCTTCAGCATCGTCTACGTCGAGGGCCGTGCCACCGAGCGCCTGCGCCGCCTAACAGTCGAGGTTCCCTGCGGTGCCATGCCCTCCGAGGGCCGCGGTGGCGAGGATGATCCGCTGCTGACGCTGCTGAGTGAGGACGCCGATCCGCCAACGCCGACCATGCTGTCGAACCTGCGCTTCAACGTGCTCAAGAGGTGGAGGGATGACGAGAAGGGGCGAGGCCGCTATCTTGTTTTGGACCTCGTGCCACGGTCAAAGGATGGTGTGCCCGTCGACAAGATCAAGGAGGCGAGCTTCTTGCTGAGTCGGGCGGACATTTGTCTGTACGAAGGTGCCGAACCGAGGTTTCCATTTGTTAATCTTAAGTACGACTATGGTGATTGGGGGGACAAGAGGTGGAACGATGGGAGGCGGGTCGAAGTTAGGCCATTGCCATCGAAGTCTGAAGTGCCGCCGACTGAGTGATAGGGGCTCTCAGAACATCCACTGATCGTAGACCGCATGGTTTCTCACGTAGCCGTAACATCACTTTCATTGTCATATTTTTAAACACTGATAAGGTCAGTAAGGCATTTCCAAATGGTCAAAGCTCCAGCTGAACCATTTCTACATACATATCCTTGACTTTTGATGTCACTATCAACCTGAGTTCGCCCGTGAAAAGGTAGGTCTCACCCGCTGGAAACATTCGCGCTTCGATCCAGGAGACCATAATTCAATGGGCTCTCCATCACTCTCGTGAGCCTGATATGCCCTGAAGTTAGCCTGGCACTGTTCTCGAGTTACGTCGGTGGATGGAGACCACAATCAAGGGAAATTGAGCACCAATACCAGTCATCCACCGTGTCCTACAGTGATACAGTAAAACTCAGAACAAGCGATGTCACCAATCAGTTCTTGTATCAATTACAAAAATCTCGAATTTGACAGCTTGGTCAACTCTCTCAGTGATGTTTTGTTTGTACATCGTCTCAGAGTACAGTTTTGAGTTTGGCAAAGTATGGCTGTGAACCCATGCAGGTTCTTGCAATGTGCAAATGACTGACCATCATGTCCTTTAATGAACTCTGATATGATCAAATAACCTATGTTGAGTGTCTTTTCGGCACCAAAAAAGATCTCGAATACGGCTTGACGGACTGGATGTCCTGGCGTGGGGATTGCGCCGGCTCGTATAACAAATGACGTGACGAAGATGCCCTGGCAAGGAGTTGATTTCGTTCTGCCTCCACTTCGAGACGAACCTGTGTCACCTGCTTGTTCAGGCAGCTCACTCGGGATGTCTTCGTATGCATTCGAGAACTGATGCACCAGTTACCTACCAAGTCCGTCCCCTGCACCGAACATCCGGATGTCGTGCCGGCGCCGACGTGCCAAGAATACACCAGCAGTCACGTCTGCTGTCGCTCCCGAGATTCTTCAACGCTAGCATTCCCAATGCCGGCCGGCTCTTTATTCCTCTGTAGGATCCGCCTTGGCGATCGCGAGCTTGGTGAACGACGAGAATGCCGATGTTCAAAGCTAGCCAGATCGCTCATGGCACCAGGCGATGCGCGAGTCCGCGACCCGAGCTTCCTGTCTCAGCCAGGGCTCGCGGTGTCTTGCATGGAATGCTAGCTGTCTCAAGCCAGCTCCGCGCTCTGTTCCTCATCCAGAAGTTCGGTAGCAAGCCACATGCACAAAGGCCGCAAGACCCTCTCGCACTTCCACGATGCCACCGAAAGCCATGGTGGCATGCAGAGATAAGATCGCGACATGACTGCTGCACGCAAACAAAAAGGAAGGTCGACGCCGTCTCCCTCTTCGCCAGCGCGCGTCAACCTGCGTCCTCGCAACCCTGAGGGCCCGTCTTGACCGCCGAGATCCAAGGGAGAGTAAGCTTCTCTTTCCCCACCCCCTGCCGCCGATCAGACCTGTTGCCGATCCCCTTTCATAGGGCCGTGATTTCGACGCGGCAGTCGAGTGCCGCCCAAGATCTCCATCAGGGGCCCCAGCTGCCTATTCGGGCGATGCCGGCCGAATGGCGCCATGATCACGATGGCTCCCCCACGTCACATCGCATTGCAGACCTTCTACTTCGAGAAGCCGGCGCGTAGTGTCTCCAGAATCGTAATCAGAGGTCATCGGATTCGCAGCATTCCTAGTGGCAAAGGCCCCTCGAGGTCTATAAACAATGCTGTGTCTCAGCAACGGGGAATCACAGTGAACGCCGCCTTCACTTCTCCTTTCCAACGATACTGAGGTCTCCGAGCAAGCATCCAACCACATTCGTCGTACGCGCAGACGCCTTGCTCTCACATCATGAAGGCGACTTTCCTCAAGGCCCTGGCCCTTACGGCCGTCGGCTCGACCGCGGCCAAGGAGCTCCAGCCCAATGCGCTGATCAGCGAGATCTACGACAGTGGCGCCATTCACAAGGACCTGATGGCCCGCAAGCACGTACGTTGATTGGACGTTCAATTCTTGCTTGAAGTGATCTGACTTTCTATCAGGCTTCGTGGGACCGCCAAATCGCCAGCGGCGAGATGAACTCGACCATCTACCAGAGCCGTCTCGCCGCCGATGGCCCCGTCCCCTGCGTCAACGGCGTCGCTGCCGTTGTGCCGGGTGACCGCCTGAACACTTTCAGGTGCAACAAAGTAGCTTACCATTTGTCTCACCTCATATGGCTGCGAGTAACCCTGTCTGACAAGCGCCCAGGTCGACTTCTACGACTTCAAGAGCCATGCCGCCCTCGGCAGCAAGACCGGCCAGGGCTCCTCTTCGTGGGGCTGGACGGCGCCCAACGGCCGCGAGTTTGTCGTAGTCGCCCAGGCCGACGGCGCCAGCTTCTCCGAGATCACGTCGGCGGGTAAGCTCGTCTACCTCGGCCGCCTGCCGCCGTACTCGACCAACTCGATCTGGCGCGAGTTGCGCGGCTACAAGAACTTCATCGTCATCGGCAGCGAGGCGTCGCGCCATGGTGTGCAAATCTTCGACCTCAGCAAGCTGCTGACCGTCAACCCGGCGAGCCCCGTCACTTTCTCCAACTCGCGCGATCTGACGGGCTACTGGAACGGCCTGCCCGCGGGCTCGACGCACAACATTGTGATCAACGAGGAGAAGCAGTATGCTGTCGCTGTCGGCGCGCAGCCCCGCACCAGCACGTGTCGGTCGGGTCTCATTTTCATCGACCTGAAGGATCCCGCCAAGCCCACCACTCTTGGTTGCGCCGCCGGAGACGGCTACGTCCACGATGCCCAGTGCCTCGTGTACAGGGGTCCTGATACCAAGTACCAGGGCCGCGATATCTGCTACGGTTACAATGAGGACACCTTGACCATGTAAGATCAACTTGTCCCAGAAGAAAAGGACAGCTTGGCTGACAGGCATTCCCAGCTACGACGTCACCGACAAGACGACCACCAAGATCATCTCGCGCACCAGCTACGAAGGCGCCAGCTGCAAGTTCCCTTCACGGCCCCATGTTCACTTGTTCCCGATCGCTAACTCAAGTACAGACACCCATCAAGGTTGGGTCACGAACACGCAGTGGCAGGAGTACCTCGTACTCGACGACGAGTACGACGAGTACGACAAGACGGGCGCCGCCGCCAGTGGCTACCCGATCACCTACTTCTGGGACATTCGGTCGCTCGAGAAGCCCAAGCAGACGGGCTACTTCAAGAGCCCTGCGTACGGCATTGACCACAACCAGTTCGTCATTGACGGCTTTGCGTACCAGAGCAACTATGGCGCTGGCTTGCGCATCCTTGACGTGTCGTCCCTGCCGCAGGACCCCACGGGAAAGCTCGTCAAGGAGGTCGGCTTCTTCGACGTCTACCCAGAGGATGACCGCAACGCCAACGGCGGGTCTATCGATTTTGTCGGTACCTGGAGCCACTACCCCTTCTTCAAGAGCGGCTTCATCCTCGTGAACACGATTGAGCGGGGTGCCTTTGTTGTCAAGAGGCAGAAGTGAGCGGCCGAGGGAAAACTGCCCGGCTGGCTTCACCTCTGAAAAAGAAGGTGGGCGCGGCTATTGGAGTTTCTTCGTGACCAAAAATATACCTTGATATGAATGAACAGACATTGTCTCCTGACCTACCACAACATGTCTGACATTCTCGTGACGTGCATGCCCAGCTCCTGGGGCATACTCATCAACTCAGGTCGGTGATTAAAACAACAAGGCAGTCAAAGGGCAGGCTCTCTGCACACTCCGACACTGATTCGTCGTTGTTCAGAGAAGGGTCGGCATCGGCCAGTGAGTACAGCCATGACCCCGGTCACCGGGCCCATTGTCCCACCGCTTACAGCGTCAAGCCCTGTAGGGGAAATGCCGGCGGCTAGTGCCGCAACACTGGCCGGAGCACATATCGGTGCTGTATCCAAGACTACGAGCCGGATTTCCACGCATGTCGCAGAACTTCTTGCGAGTGCTTACGTCCGAGTCCGAACAGAGTCAGTAAGCGGTGTGGCTGCCGGAGGCCAACCAGAGGCCGATGCATGCCACTTCCCTACCGCATTCAATTGAATTCTTTCAAACCTGGCGTCTATGACCCTCTACCACACCTAGTTCTAGACGTTGGACGTTCAATGTCGAGATCGGGGGCGCTGAAGTAACCAGTTGACTGCGAAAAGACATATGCCGTACAAAGTCTGCGATAAGCTCAAAGTCGCAGCCGTTGCATGCAGGTTAAGCTGGGGGTGATGACGCTGCTTCCCGCTTGTGCCATGAAAATCTTGCTTACAGAGGCTGGTCGTCTCGAAGGTTTCGCCACCACGCAGCCAGTCCTGGTCGACACGAATCCCACTCCATATTGAAGTCTGCTCCACAGTTGACAGCTTCGACGGATCGCCGGCAGTTAAATGTTGTCGCTATCTTTTGAATCGGTCGCGAAGAGGGCCCACGTGGGTGCCGCGTTTTGAGGCGAGAGAGAACGGAACACATTACCCTTGATGAGGCCAGAGAAGTCGGTTACCTGTCCAGCGGTAAAGATCGCAAATGCTGACATATCTTGACTGAGCCTTGAGGGGGAGATCAACCCCGAACATCGGCCCGCCATCTGGGCCAGGGTTTCATCTGAGAGCTCTCTGTTCCCGGAGCGTCGTACTGGAACCCTTTCCAACCCATTTGCGGCATTTGCACATGGGCAGTAGGAAATCCCCGAAGGCTATCGTCCCGTCACCGCCATGCCGTGCATGTTCCGGAAAATCGAACGGCGGTGGGCTTAAGCCTTTCACGGACCATTTCCCGAAAGCCGGGCGCATTTGGTACGGCAATAGTGTGGTGGTAGGGTCGGTTTGGGCGATGGGCCCCGCTTGTAAGTCCGACAACCAGATGAGGCATGGGTGAGGCTGGCGATTTCTTGATTAGTGTGGAGCCCATGTCGGCGATAACCGATTCTGTCAGAGATTTCGCGGCGACCCAGCACGATGGACATCTCTTGCGTCATTGGCAGAACCGCTGATCGCAGGACGATGCGAACGGGGCCGGCAAGAATTGGATGTTTGAAGACGTCGATGGAATCGAGGGAAGCCCCAGGCTCAGCCTTAACTCCGTTGATGATGCGTAATCGACTCGAGTTTTATCGGCCATGGCAATAGGTCGTGATCGAGTATAAAGCACGAGGCCATCCTGAAGCTGTCTAGCCAAGCTGTAAGCATTGTACAATACTCACACCACACCCACGTCGCAACTCTTGCTTTGAGACTTGACCACATCTTTCTCATCCCATTCAGCGCCATAACAATCACCATGAGCACCGACTACAAGTTCGAAGGCTGGCTCGGTCTCAGCCCCGAGTCCGCTGAGGGCAAGATGGAGTGGGGTTCCTTTGAGCCCAAGAAGTGGACTGAGGACGACGTCGACATTCAGATCACACACTGCGGTGTCTGCGGCTCTGACATCCACACTCTCCGCTCCGGCTGGGGCGCGGCCACGTACCGTAAGTCGAGCGATCTCCCGTAGCCTCTCCGCAAGTGCACACACTTACAAGTACAGCCTGCTGCGTCGGCCACGAGATTGTTGGCAAGGCCGTCAAGGTCGGTGCCAACGTCAGGCACATCCAGCTGGGCGACCGCGTTGGCGTCGGTGCGCAGGCCCGCGCCTGTCTGCAGGCCGACTGCCCCGAGTGCTCCATCGGCAAGGAGACGTACTGCTCTCGCGGTAACGTTGGCACGTACAACAGCAAGTACCCTGGCGACGAGGGCCAGTCATTTGGCGGCTACGCCGACTACAACCGCACCAACGGCAACTTTGTCGTCAAAATCCCCGACGGCATTCCTTCGGAAGAGGCAGCACCCATGCTGTGCGGTGGCGTCACCGTGTTCGCGCCCCTGAAGCAGAACGGTGCGGGTCCCGGCAAGACGGTCGGCATTGTCGGCGTCGGTGGCCTGGGCCACTTCGGTATTCTCTTCGCCAAGGCCCTGGGCGCCGACCGCGTTGTGGGCATCTCCCGCAAGAACGACAAGCGCGAGGATGTCCTGAAGCTCGGAGCTGACCAGTACATCGCGACTGGCGAGGATGAGGGCTGGGAGAAGAAGAACGCGCGCTCGCTCGACCTCATCATCTGCACCGTCTCCAGCTCCAACATGCCTTACACTGGCTACCTCGGCCTGCTGAAGCCTGGCGGCAAGCTCGTCCAGGTTGGCGCCCCCGACGGCGGTAACCTGCCCCCTGTCAACGCCTTCTCGCTCATCCTCAACGGTATCAACCTGGGCGGCAGCCTCATTGGCACCCCCAACGACATTCGCGAGATGCTCGAGCTGGCTGTTGAGAAGAAGGTCAAGCCCTGGGTCGAGACCAGGCCGATGAAGGATGCCAACAAGGCCATTGTCGACTTTGAGGCGGGCAAGCCTCGTTACCGCTACGTGTTGGTGAACGAGAAGCACCTGTGACTAGATGATCAGATTTCTGGACGGGCGATGCTGTAGATAGATACCACGACATGACTGATGAGCGACTGCTGGCATGCATAGACGCATAGAAAAGCATACATAGAAAGCCTTGATTTTGAGACACGGAGTTTCCCGGTTGCTTGTTCGTTTGTGAGCTGGAGAAGCATGAGAGTGACGCGATGCAACGTGGTGACTGTGTAGCATGTGTCGAACGATTAACTGTTCCTCAGTTCGGACTCACGGCTGGCGATTGACCAGTGGTTTCGCCTGGCCCCCATTCTGCTTGACGAACTGACCGGTACGCGTATACGGCACGTTCGAATTGGATCAAATCGCGTTAGCCGTAGGGCTACCGGCTGCCGAATTCCAGGGCAGCTTCCTTTCAGGGCAGCTTGCGTGGCTGTGGTGTTGATACGAGATGAGTTGAGGCCCGTGTGCTGCCATGCCGTCGCGATGTTCCGTCAGCCTGCCTTCCTTTCTTCCTCGCGCATTCACGATGCACCATTCAGGATAGCCGATCAACCCTCAGCCACTCCTTCCCATTGAGATCCTTCATCCCTTCCTCCCCTCCTCCACTCCTCCCTTCCTCCCTTGGGACGGCCTCGGTCTCGGGGTCGTCGGTGGCGGCGTCGTACCTGCCTCCTCCATGCGTGATCTCCACACTAATGTCGTATTAATGTCTCCCAGCACCAATCACATGCTGCGCAGAGCCACCCTTCCCCTGTGTCAGGCACGCCCCGACCAGCGTCCTTCGTTCTTCCTTCCCTTCCCCTTCCCCAATTCTTGCTGTGTTCCTCGTCTCAAAAAGTTGGGCGCCTCCTCCCTTCCTCCTGCTCGCCGTCTCGACCTGCTCCCCACTCCCCACCTTTCATGCTCTTCAGTTTCTCCATCACTGTTGTGCATCTCTGCATCCACTGTTGTCTCCTTTCTGTCTACCAACTCACATTCACTTGACTTCATTCATCTCACCTCAACTTCGGTGTCATCTCACCAGACTTTCGCTTCCCTTCCTTCCAACCTTGGACCTTGCGCTGCTTCTCTTGGCTTTCGCTCTTTTTTTCCCCGTCGTCGTTCGCCGCCAACAAGACACTCGTCGCTTGCGAAGCTGCTCGTCAATTGCTCTTCGTCGCTCGCTCCTCATCAGCCCCTTCAAACCGGTCGCGGGCCTCTTTCCCCCCTATCGCGCCCACCGCAATCTCCTCCAGCGCGCACCCACTCTGACCTCCTCACCCACCCTTTCGTCTTACGTCACCATGACCCTGTCATCACCATCCAACCACAGCCTCGTTGCTGTGATGCTCGTGCTTGGCACATTTTCTCAAACCGCCTTGGCACAGCTGGCCAAGCGTAATGACAACTCCACCCCCGCCGAACGCAAGAGGACCATCGCCATTGTCATCGGCACTATCGTGTACGAACCCCGTCCCGTCTTTTTTCTCTTGCCTGATTCTAACAATCACAGTGGCGTCGGCCTTGTCGGTGGCCTCATCCTCCTCGCCTTCTTGCACCGTCGCATGCAGCGTCGCGACCGCAAGGAAGCCGAGGATGACGCCCATCTCGAGCTCGAGGGCGATATCGACGACTCGGACTACCCTGCCATGCCGCGCCCCAGCAAGCAGCGTGAGGGCCAGGCCCCAGCGAACCCATTTGAGCCGCCGCGTGACCGCCCTTATGAGAACGGCGACATGAAATGATGAGGCTGAGAAATGCCTTTTCACTTCTTCTCGAAATCGCAGACGGCGGACTCGCTCCGTGTACGTCTGTGAGGCCTCACCAACAAGGTGTTTCGGTCACGTCTTGGCTTCATCCGGGTCAGGGAATCAAGTAATGCTGTTTGGGAATGCTATGGGTCTGGCGTTGTCTTGGCTATTCTTCTGTACCATTGCACGTTCGAACGCCTCGCCTCTAGGCGACTGTTGTATATCACCGTCGGCGTATCTGGATTTCTTTTCTTCTTCTTCAGTGGCCACTCCGTGCCCATGTGTATGCCTTGCTGCTTGCTCGTCATGGAGGTTCGCGCCAAGTAACACGGCTCCCGTGACAGTCGCCTGCGTCTCAGTCTCCGAGACAGTGAGCCACGTTCTCATCGCTTGTACCCCGTGTCACTGTGCTCGCCAAGCTCCAGGCGCTGACGGCCGGAAACCCCGCAAGACCCTCCCGTGGCGGTGGTGGATGCCGACACGCAGAGCAATTGCCGGCTGCCTCGAGGCCGCCGCTTAGTTGAAAATGCCGCTTAGGTCGACGCCGCTTAGTTAGACGCCGCTTAGGTCGACAATGCTGCTGGAAGCACAAAAAACAAAAGTCCCCCAGGCACCAGAATTACAGTCCTGCCAGCTGCCGTATCCAGTTCGCTACGCCGCTCAGCGCGGTGCACGCCGGCCGAGGGAGCGTCGACGCAGCCCGCCCCGCCCGGCTCAGGCTACCCAATGCGGCCCGCGGCAGCGGCGCAGCGCAGCTAGCCCCTGGCATACTCGTTTCGTCCGCCAATGGCGCGGCGTGCAGAGACGGGATCGTAGAATTTAAGCTCATCTGGCTGTGCCTCCAGGCTCACGTCAGAGAAATGGGGGGTTGCATGTAGGCGCGGAGGATGATTCGGTCTGTTGACGGGTATAAAGAAAGAAGGCAGACGGCGGCGTCACGATGAACATGTCGCGATACTTCAGTCTTGGTGCAAACCACGACAGCAACTGCCATGCATCTAGCGGGAAGGAAAAAACCCACCAGATACATCAGCACCATCAATCTTGCATTAGACTAACCACACAACAGCATGCGCATCTCCGTTCTCGCCCTCGCGGCCGCCCTCCCGTCAGCGCTCGCCTTCGAGATGACCTCGCCCCAGCCAGGATCCGCCCTCAACCTCAACGACACGTCGATCAAGCTCACGTGGAAACCCATCGAAAGCAGCGACAGCGCCCTAAGCTCGGTGACCATCGGCTGGCTCCTCCAGAGCCAGGGAAAGACTGTCGCGGGCGCCGGGTACTCGAGCACCGGCGACATTGCGGTCAACGTCAGCCAGCCGCGGGTCACGTCGTACGACTGGGATCCGGCGCAGGCAAGGGAGGCGCTGGCCAACATACTTCCGCAGGGCAACGGGGCGGTCACCTTCTACCTGCGGTGGGTGCACGGTTCGGCGACGTACGGCCTAGGAGCCGGGTCGGCGGTGGAGTATAGCCTCGAGGGGACTGAGAGGTCCGAGTTGGAGTCGGGGGCGGGTGGCCTCTCGGCTGGGATCTGGGCTGCCGCTTGGGCTGGGCTTGCGGCTGTCATGTGGATTGCTTAAGGGGACCAGGGTCATGGGGTTCCGACTTCGGTGTGCATGACGACCGGCGTTTGGTCAATGGCTTGTCTTGGTGTCTGCTGCATGGTGTTTGGTGGTGTTTGTCGCGTTCCTACTTGGATCCTGATTAGAGTACCAGGGGCTTGCCCTTGACGATTAGACCAACTCACTGCCCACAAGAAATTCCTTCGGCGATGATACAAAGAGGATGAATTTGGAGTTAAACGACCTGCAACTCCTAACACCTCGATCATCTTCGAGGAGGCATCGTATCACCCCCTTTGGTGTAGTGTCATTGACCACAACGAGCGCCCTGTCCTACTGCTGTGTTTCACCCGCAAATTGTGCCATCGTAGCATTGAGGCTGGAGAGCAACGCATGTATGTTGCCGAGTCCGGCCTCCAACTTGGACGACAAGCTGGACACCTCTTGTTTGATGTGTCGCAACTCTTCCAGCATTCTTTGATACATATCGCGTTCCTCTGAATCGTCGGCCGGGATGAGGGGCACGTCCCATACGCCTGGGGGAACCGGCAACTGCGCAGGCTGCGACGAAGCCACAGGTTCGCTTTGCAGATTAGATGCCGGGTCAGGCAGAGGAAACGAATCGAGGGGTAGTTGGGGTGGATCAGGGAGGCCAAGCAGTGGCATCTGCGGAGGCTGGGACAAAGCCATAGGGTCGCTTTGCAGAAAACTTGCCGGATCAGACTCAGGAAACAAATCGAGGGGTAGTTGGGGCGAATCAGGGAGGCCGAGCAGTGGCATCTGTAAGCAAGCACGTCAGCGTCGCGTTCTTCTTGAAGACCGTGTAAGAACGAATCCTTTTTTACGTAGGGATTGGGGTTCCACGGCCGTGGCTGTTGAATGAAAGTGTCGGTGGCAGGCTGGTTGTCCTGCGTTGGCAGTTCCTGCGGGGGCGGGTCCTTTTTCATCCGTTTGCTCGGTTGACTGCTCTGCGATGACTCGCAAGTCGTCTCTGAGGCGTCTTCTTGCGTTGGCGGTTCCTTTTTACTGTGTTTGTTCTTTCGATTGCTCCGTGTCGTCTTGCGTGTCGCCTTTGGAGAGTTCCCTTGAGCTGTGTGTACTTCATGGGTCTGGTTGCTCGGTCGACTGCGTCGTGATGATTTGCGTTTCGTGACGAGGGAGGTGCTCTGCGGCCCATCATTTCGCGAATGGTGCGATGGTTCGTCACTCATGGCGAGTAGATGATGCTTGATATGGGGTGTCGGTATGAGTATGCGAGCATGTAAGACTGGCATGTTGATGCAGAGGTCATGTCAGATGGAGCGTGGAAGAATTTCGGTGGGTATGAGAAGTGTCTTCCGTTCCAGCCATGATGGCAAGAGGCACCTTGGCACGTAAGGCCTCCTACACGTAAGGCCTCCTACACGCAAGGTAGGTTCTTTAGGGTTAGGTGCGTCACGACCCAGATGTCGGGAAGGTGAGGACTTGGATAAGGCAGGTTCTGTCCGGCCTGTGCCTTCTGACCAGCTGGCCTTCGAAAGTGCCTTCTTAGGTACATCGGCCAAAGGAACACGGTCTGACCTGTCCTCTCCATGTCGATAACGATTTTCTTCTACCAGGTGTAAGGGACGCAGGCAGGTCCTTGGTGAGAATTGGCCCAGAATCTTGCAATCTCCCAGGAAAAGCTGGGGCTGAACGCTTCGGTCAGAGGCTTAGAACCCATTCTTCATCATCAGATCAGACGTCCGTCTCTGAGCATCACATGCGATACTTGTAACCATCCCACCTATCATGCCGACTCTATCAACCGAGGACCGGAACTGACGTCTCGCATGGCGGCAGCATGTGGGTGCATGTCCCATTTATCAAAAGGGACACAGATCTTGGCAGAACATCTTGGTCCGTTCAATTTCATCATTGAAGCGCGCTACCTCCTACACACCGCCCTCACGCCTTCGTCTGCTTCAGCAGGTCCGAGATCCTCACCATGCTGACAGTCACCTTGTTGGTGGTGCTCGGCGGCAGCTTACCGGCGCCCATGATGAGCAGGAAGTCGGGGTCCTCCTCCATGACGCGAATGTGCCTCGTGTACGCCGCATCCTCGGGCACCGTGTACGCGAGCCAGGCGTCGGGCGCGCCGCCCTCGGTGTTGATGTACAGGTCCTTGCTGCCGCTGCTGACAATGATGGACCCGTGGCAGCCGCCGACGGGCGACCAGACGACGACGGGGCTGCTGATGGGAAAGGCGCCGCCGGGGACGGGGTTGCGGTTCGTCGCGTTGATGTAGAGCGGCTCGGCGTCGGCGAAACGGCGTGGGTCCGCGGCGATGCGGTAGTAGAGCGGGAACGTGTAGGGTGTGAGGATGTCGGCGCCGCCCCACTCGTACGCGTAGATGTAGTCGCCCTTGGGCAGCTTGGCGACGTACGGCATGCCGGGGCGGTCCGTGTAGCGGGGCTCTGAGATGTCAATGACAACGTCGGACCAGGTGCGGAGGTCCTTGGTCGTCTGGTGCGAGATCTCCTGGCCGTGCTCGGCCGAGCGCTGGTCGGCGTAGTAGAGGATGAGCTCGTCCTCGTAGATGCTGCCTGCTGTCAGTTTGTGTTTCCAGAAAATGCATGTTTCCAGAAAATATATGTTTCCAGACAAACACTATGGGGAGGAAAGAAAGGCAATAACGTACATAATCATGGGCTCCCAGACAGGCGTCTCCTCGTTGTTGGGAATGGCCCGACCGCCAGAGGCAACGTGCGAGACGAATTCCCAGGTGCGGCCCTTGTCGAGCGAAGCATACACATCAATGCGCGTCTGGCTGAGGTCGGTGGGGATGCTGTTGGACGCCGCGAGGACGGTGCCGGCCGGGAAGCCACCAAAATCCTGGCGCAGCTCGTACAGGAAGGGCTGGTAGCGCAAGCCCCAGCCGTTGACCTGGTCGGTGACACGCCCGACCTCGCCCCACGACAGACCGCCATCGGTGGACTCGTAGATGGGGTGCCACACCAGGGGTGGCTCAGGCGAGTAGTTCTCCCACGTGGCGAGGAGGCGACCGTCGGTGAGCTGGACGGTGCGCGGGTAGAGAACGCGGGGGTCGGTGTAGTTGGACGGCGGCTGGAAGATGAGCTTGCGGTCGAACGTCTCGAGGGCCGACGTCAGCGACAGGCTCAGGGCGCTGACGGCCGCGAAGAGGGCGGAGCGGAGCATGATGGAGGGTCTCTGGGATAGCGTCTCTTGTGGGAAAAGCAGCTCCTGGCCTGGAGGGAGTCTCTCTTCAGCAAGAGGGAGCGAAGGGAAGTCGCCAGTGTTTATAGAGAATCATCTCGGCGATGCGACATGTCCACGCGACCATGGCATGACGATGCGACAACTGCCCTCCCTCGGCAACGGGACAATCACTTCGAGCTTCTCCCCCAACAGAATGACAACATCGCCATATCGGCCGACCGTTGAACCATGCAGTACAGCAGCGTGGCGTTGGCGGCCCCATTGGCCTCGGCATGCGCTCCAAACAAAAGCCGGCGCGAGATTGACACCATTCCCAAATCCGAATCGCGGGCCGACCATTATGTCAACCCCAACAATGAGTGCGGGGATTCATGCGGGGAAACTCCTGGAAGTGCCGTGTTGTGGGCGACAGGAGGCGGTTATACCCCTGGCCGGGTGAGATGCGCACCAGTCACAATGGAGAACTCCTGCAGGAC